TTCTGCCAGGGGCGGGCTCTGCTGTTGGCACGGCAACCACGATTGCAGCAGCCGCGCTATTTGCTCAGACCCCAGCGTGGTTGTCACCAATGAGGGCGGTGCTTAAGAGGGTTAAATTTCCTTTTACTATAAAGCGTGGCTATACCTGATAGCCTGACTTAACATTTTCTGAAGGAGACTTCTAAAAGAACTTTTAATAGATTTTTTTGCCTGTCTCCCCTCCCCCCAGCAACCATGTCTAAGGGACCTGCAGTTGGCATTGATCTCGGCACCACCTACTCTTGTGTGGGTGTTTTCCAACACGGAAAAGTGGAAATCATTGCCAATGATCAGGGAAACCGAACCACCCCGAGTTATGTCGCCTTTACTGATACCGAACGATTGATCGGTGATGCTGCAAAGAATCAAGTTGCAATGAATCCCACCAACACGGTTTTTGGTAAGCTTTTAACTAAATAAAATTAATGGCATGAGTTAGATTAGGCTAGGAAGCATGTAATTTAAGAAACTCAAGTATAAAGGAGTCAGGCAGGAAAGTTGTAAGGGTTGTAAAAGTCATTTAAAGAACTTGAACGAACAAAACTTGGGGGGTTTTTTTGAGCAAATTTGTATGCTAAAAATTTGAGGTAACTACTAACCTGTCACCGCAATAAACTAAAAAATTTTTTTTGAAGTAACAAGATATCAGGAGAACTTGGATGAACTTTGCTGGCCATACAGAAATTGAATTCACTTATTATGAATTTGGGTTGATGGGCATGTGGTCCTAGTGTTTGATTAATGGAGAGCTAGAGTTTTTGGAAAGATGTACAATGAAATTCAAGATTTGAATTTGCATTTGATACCTTTTACAGATGCCAAACGCCTGATTGGACGTAGATTTGATGATGCTGTTGTTCAATCTGATATGAAACATTGGCCTTTCATGGTGGTGAATGATGCTGGCAGGCCCAAGGTCCAAGTAGAATACAAGGGAGAGACAAAAAGTTTCTATCCAGAAGAAGTGTCCTCTATGGTTTTAACAAAGATGAAGGAAATTGCAGAAGCCTATCTTGGAAAGGTTAGTGTACTATTAAGGGAGAGAACGTAGGTGGTGATTGCAGTACTAAGCACCAGATTCCCTGGTGCATGGATAACTTGGGATTTTGACTAAGAACATAACAAGTTATCAGAAACTGGTCTGTTTATTTTCACCAGAATGTTTCTGTAATTTGCTGCTGTATCTTGAGTGCGTGCCCAAGTAGATGATCCTGGGACTACTGTAGTTTAACTCGAATCTTGTTTTCTACTCCTAGACTGTTACCAATGCTGTTGTCACAGTACCTGCTTACTTCAATGACTCTCAGCGTCAGGCTACCAAAGATGCTGGAACTATTGCTGGTCTCAATGTGCTTAGAATCATCAATGAACCAACTGCTGCTGCTATTGCTTATGGCTTAGACAAAAAGGCATGTACAATTTATGCTGTGTCTTGGGTTATTTTAAGATTGAGTTGAGCCATCAAGTTTAGATAATAAAACTTGTATTTTAATGGCAGGTTGGAGCTGAAAGAAATGTGCTGATCTTTGACTTGGGAGGTGGCACTTTTGATGTGTCAATTCTCACAATTGAAGATGGAATCTTTGAGGTCAAATCTACAGCTGGGGACACCCACTTAGGTGGAGAAGACTTTGACAACCGAATGGTCAACCATTTTATTGCAGAGTTCAAGCGCAAGCATAAGAAGGACATCAGTGAGAACAAGCGGGCTGTCCGTCGCCTCCGTACTGCCTGTGAACGTGCTAAGCGTACTCTCTCTTCCAGCACCCAGGCCAGTATTGAGATTGATTCGCTCTATGAGGGAATTGACTTCTATACCTCTATCACTCGTGCCCGATTCGAAGAATTGAATGCTGACCTTTTCCGTGGCACCCTGGACCCTGTAGAGAAGGCCCTTCGGGATGCCAAGCTTGACAAGTCCCAGATCCATGATATTGTCCTGGTGGGTGGTTCTACCCGTATCCCCAAGATTCAGAAACTCCTACAGGATTTCTTCAATGGAAAAGAGTTGAATAAGAGCATCAACCCGGATGAGGCTGTTGCTTATGGTGCAGGTAATAATTCTATCCTAATTGAGTATTCTTAAGCTATATCAGATTCGCTGTGATGAGTGATTCTAAAACATTCGTAGTTTCCACCAAAAGCTTAGCTAATGATGGCACAACTTCCTTGGATGTCTGAGCGATTGAGAAGTGTTATTTAAAAAGGAGTTATACTGTTACTTTTTTAAAACTACTTTACTTTTTATAATCTAGCTGTCCAGGCAGCCATCCTATCTGGAGACAAATCTGAAAACGTTCAAGATTTGCTGCTGTTGGATGTCACTCCTCTTTCCCTTGGCATTGAAACTGCTGGTGGAGTTATGACTGTCCTCATCAAACGCAATACTACCATTCCTACCAAGCAGACACAGACCTTTACTACCTACTCTGACAACCAGCCTGGTGTGCTTATTCAGGTATGTTTTCTCTCCTGCCTTGGCCTGGCTGAACTGAGGTCTTATAAAATTGGGGAAGACTTGGTCCCGCTATGATGATGGATTCCAAAACCATTCGTAGTTTCCACCAGAAGTCTTGTGTTGGCCAGTTCCTTCCTTGGATGTCTGAGCGATCAGCCTTCCCTAATTGAGCTTATATGAGTTTGGAGCTAGCACAGAAACCTTTTGTAGTTAACTTAGTAATTTCTTTTTTCTACCAAGGTTTATGAAGGTGAGCGGGCCATGACCAAGGATAACAATTTGCTTGGCAAGTTTGAACTCACAGGCATACCTCCTGCACCTCGTGGTGTTCCTCAGATTGAAGTCACTTTTGATATTGATGCCAATGGCATCCTCAATGTCTCTGCTGTGGATAAAAGTACAGGAAAAGAGAACAAGATTACCATCACTAATGACAAGGGTAAGTTTGGGCACAACTTTGAGTGGAACTGCCATGTGATCTTAGACATGCTTTGGGTCCTAATAGTTGCATCTTCCAAATGGTTTCTGCTGTCCCACCCCCAGGGCATTTAGCCAAGAGATGACTGTTAATGCTAATGGAGTTGGGGTTACAGGTTGCAGTCATTGCAGGTAACTGAGTGATCATAGTCTTGAGAGAGAGCCTAAAATATTCCAACAGGTCGCCTGAGCAAGGAAGACATTGAGCGCATGGTCCAGGAAGCTGAGAAGTACAAAGCTGAAGATGAGAAGCAGAGGGACAAGGTGTCTTCCAAGAATTCACTTGAATCCTATGCATTCAACATGAAAGCAACTGTTGAAGATGAAAAACTCCAAGGCAAGATCAATGATGAGGACAAACAGAAGATTCTTGACAAGTGCAATGAAATCATCAACTGGCTTGATAAGAATCAGGTTTGTAGATTTTTGATAAATGGAGGGTGGTGGGGTAGATGTAGGGCTTCAGCAAAAGCTTAGATGGGTTTACAGATTCATAAGGTCACAATGATGAATGGTCCAAACATTCGCGGTTTCCACCAGAATTTTAGATGTTGGCAACTAGCTTCCTTCCTTGGATGTCTGAGTGACCTAAGATTTCATGTGCAGACTTTGCTAATGTGACAGGCTTCTGTGTATATAGTTTTATCAGATGGCATCTGGCTTGAAGCTTCGTTTACTTGAAATTTTAGTAATAAAATACTTTGTTCTCTCCTCAGACTGCAGAGAAGGAAGAATTTGAACATCAGCAGAAAGAGCTGGAAAAAGTCTGCAATCCTATCATTACCAAGCTGTACCAGAGTGCAGGAGGCATGCCAGGAGGGATGCCCGGAGGCTTCCCTGGTGGTGGAGCCCCTCCTTCTGGTGGTGCTTCTTCTGGACCCACCATTGAAGAGGTTGATTAAGCCAACCATGAGCATAGATTTAGCATTGTTCCACACAAAATATGGAAGGACCCAAATTTGTAGCAAATTCACAGCAGTTTTAAAGTTGAGCTGCTATGTATTAAAAAAACAAAAACAAAAAACTGGGCATTCTTGATACTTGAATATGGAATTCTGTGCACAGGGAAAGGAAATAACGATGCACTTTATAAGCACTGTATTGTAAAGTGGAAAATGCGATGTCTTAAATAAAACTATTTAAAATTGGCACCATACAATTGACTCTGTTTGTAAGAGCATTATATAGTTTCTAGGGTTGGATTTCCTTC